TCTTCGGTAGCTACTCTATGTAGAATAGTAATAAATGTATTATTTGCCTACGATGAAATGAAACAGCTTCTCTTATGACATGTACAGCCCAGTTAAACACAATTTAACTAGAATGGCAGCAGAAATAACTTCTGTCCCATGCTACTTGCCTTAAAGTAAACCTTGATGTCTCTGTGTACATTAATCAGTCATCTTTGGCGCAGATGCCTCTCTTCAGGTCAGTGATGAATTTCGTGACAGTTTATGACAAACAATTGTCAAAATGATTAAATTTATAACCACACTTATGTTTCCTTTTGTTGACGGAGGGGGATTCGGAAAAAATTCATTCAACTTTAGTATTACCCGATTTTTTGTTCTTGGCATAGGTAACTTTGAACATAGAAACGTTCGGATATAAAAGCAGCCTCTCTATTGGTCAACTTAATCGCCTTCCAGTTCTCACACGGTTAAAGCCTGGACAATTCTTTTTGCGAATTACGGCACAGTTCGGGACAGGGAACATGTCATTCACGGGAATGGCGCGAATTCTGGGATACCCTGTATTTTTGAAGTCATTAAATGATAACGAATGATTGCATTACTGTTTTCCTGCATCTGTGTGCAATTGCCAAGTTTCGGAGGTTTTAATAATTTATAAACCGATAACATTCGGTATAGCTGCAAAAAAGTTATAAATGAGGGATGTCCATTGGCACAACCTGTTTGTCGAATTGTGCCGAGAAATCTCTGCAAAAAATATAGTTTATGTGGAATAAAGAAAAAATACATATCGCATTCAAAAACCCTCTGAAAATAAACATAACACATAACCGATAAAAAGGGAGTAATTGTTTTAAGTAAAAATAAAATTCAACATAAAATGCCTACTATTACTATAGCGACGACCAGTATTTTTTAGTGCAAAGTGTTGTTCAAAAGCAGCTCATTACTGCAATAAAAGAGCCATTCCAGTAAACACTGTTTCTACCCATTTTTATTGATAAATCAAAAAACAAGTAAAAAATCGCAGAGAAAACCTAGCAAAATCTGTCACACCTACAGAGGGAAAAAGCCTGCCAAACGCTGCTAAACAGATCTGAGTGAGAGGTTACAGGCCGCCGCTGTCTGTCTCTCTCGACCGCTCATCGTGACTAAACCGGCGTCAACTCGATGTACGGTGAATACGCTTCGTCGTAACACCTAACTTATTATACACCGTGGCCATGACCAATCCCTTTACGAAACCAAAAAAAAAATCGCTGCCTACCCAAAATGCACGATCTCATGCCGAATTGACTGTACTATTTATTTTGTTTTTGTTTTTAACCTAACAATTGATGTTTCTTTCCAAATTATCAAAATCAAACATTTAACTATGTTTTAGTTGTTAAAAACAATGACGATAGTAAATATCAAAGACTGCTATCCAACTGTATTGTTAGTTGCGTTTTAAACTTTTTATATGTAAAGTTTCTCATGAATAACCCTGTGCAGGTTTGGTTTTGATAATTTGGAAACAAACGCCAACTGTTAAGTTAAAAAAAAAAACAAATTTTAACCAAACGCTCGTCAAAGCATCTGTGAAGCACTCACCATATATCAAAATCACTCTGCATCAATACTAACTAAATGTCAGTTTAGCCTGACAGTATCTGATGTTATCTGAGTATCAATGTTGTTATTTACACAAAACAGATAACTATGTTTTATTTATTTATTTTTTTTAATATCGTGAAATATCAAAATTGTATTTCTGGTTGCGTCTTGAATTTTTTAGACGTGGATCTTCTCGTGAATAACACTGTAAGTAGTGAAAAATTTGAAATACAATGTAAAGAAAACGTTAAATTTGTTAATGTTGGACATAAGTTACACTTTGAAGAAAACAGAAACTTGGAAAATTATTTGGTGCAGGTAATTGATTAAAACAAAAAACAACAAAATAAAATAAACACTGAAAATAAATCAAAATTAAAAAATCCAAGCGAAACAAAAAAATAAATTCTCAACATATGTATTAACAGAATTAACATAAAAAAATAAATTCTGAAGTATTTACTATATTTATAACAATTACAGTATATTATACTTACTTGTTAGCGTGTTCAGTTTGGTGTACTTTTACCCAGAATACAAATATTTTGATTCGAGTATAATTCAGTTAGCTATTCCTCTGGTGGTTACAAAACATATACATTTAGGAGATTTTACTAAATGGTTTTACTTAACTACGCAATTTATAAGAGAACAAAAAATGCTAGTTTAAAGTAACAAAGCTTCTAACACTTTGAAGTAAATTTCTTGTTTTTATACTAACTAATTATTAAGTACATTAGTTAGTAAATTTAGAACAAACTAAACAGTGCCAAGGACTAATACATAACTATGTGGTATATAACGATATTCACTTTTTAGAAATTTACATTATGCACATATCTTGTGGTAAGTGTACTATACCGCAAATAGAAATGAATATGGGATTAAAATAAAAGTATGAACTTCGTCAAATGATGTTCATTACCCTTCTATTTGCGAATAAACATCTACACAGGAGAAAGATGAAGATGAGTCAAACGAAACAGCAATTCTTTGGAAGAATTTTTTTATGAATTTTTTGTATACAACGATCAATTTAAACCAATTGTTCGTTATAAAAAGGATGAACATTGGACAAAATATTTTTTGTTTTTATACAACTAATGATATATATTATTTTGGTTATTTCTTCAATTTTCTAAAAATAGTGGAAAGTAAAAAATAAACGACGATACCTAGGAAACAAGTATCCACTTAAAAGCAAAAATTTCATCATTGGAACATGAACAATTATTTCTGGGAAAGTTGTAAGTATTAATTAAGAAACTGTCTTCAACATCAATAACATGTTTGATGCAGTCACTTCAAAGTTTACAATCAATTTTCCCGGATTTTTACTTCCCGAGCGTAGGCGAAAGTCTGTCTGTCTGTATGTCTGTCCGTCTGTCCGTTCGTCTGCCATCTTTTTATTAGACAGATAGGTAATCTCCGAAAGTACAGGGCCGATTGTTGTCCATTTTGTATTTATATTACGAATAGATGGTAAAACGCTAACCAAAATTTGTCTAATCATCCCCACCAATAATGTGATGACGTCACTTCAAAATTGTACATGGTAAATTGGTTTTAAGTTGCATAAAATAACATAGTCCTACACATGCAGTTTACGACTCCCTGTTGAGTTTTTACCCGAAACGTCTAGATTTTTTGGTAAATATTTTACAATATAATTTTGAATCTACAAAACCGAATACTTTGAAATCTTGCAGATGTTTTAAAGCTATAATAAGCATGATAAATTTTTAATCAACATATTGAAAAAAAATTGATGACAATCTAAAATATCCAAAATATGATGAGTCTGTACTTGTGATTTACCATTCCGTTCATATTTTTTTGGATTTGCTCATACAAGGTGACTCAAAAAAATTAGTGAATGAGTCACTTTACTTTATTGAATAAATCGGGAACTGCAAAACCGAATGCTTTGAAATCTTGCAAACATTTTAAGGTTATCGTAATTATGATAAATCGTTAATCAAAATTTATTCATTCATTTATCTCCTCCCAAAGTTTTGTTGGATAAATCCTCTTTGAATTATGCAAAATATTATCACTCTATACTTGTGATTTATCATTGCATTCACATTTTTTAGATTTGTTTATGCAGGTGGCTTAAAAAATAAGGAATGAATCACTTTATTTTATTGATCAAATCAAGAACGGTTCACTCAATTTTCCCGAAAATTTGGGAATACAATACTGTTATTATTAGTATTACATTGCAGCAATTCAAGGTAGCATATGTGTCTTTGCAAAAATGTTGATGACGTCATCATAAAATTTTGTAATGTTTAAATTCATTTGAAACATTCGTGCAGCACGCTTCTTTACATTTACTTTAATATTACATGTTTACATTTGTTTATTTCAACTTATATGGGTTCTCTTTCTTATTTATGGATAGGGATTTACTCCATTGTCCCCATCATCAGCTTCGACACAGTGGACTTATCATAAAAACAACTTTAAACTGGGAGTACATTACCAATGTTTTAATAAAAATCACCTTTAGTTGTGATTTATCAATAATCGGAAAAAATGTAACGTTGCGGGAGAGGGAGTCGTAGAAAAAGTATAGTACGCGACTCGGGGGTAAGGCCAATTACACTTCTCGTGGAATTATTGCGCTCGGCTTCGCCTCGCGCACAGTTTTTCCACTCGTGTGTAATTGGCTTCTTACCCCAAACATGGCGTAATATACTATTAACAGAATTAGAAAAATGATGGATTTAGACGACGTATTGCCCGAAAATGTTAAAAATGCAGCCAGTCAAGGATTAAACAGTGCAAATAAAACCGGTAAAGTTACTTACATTATTGCTTTTCAATTCCTTGACAAATGTTGACAATTGACATTTCGGTAAGGTAATATTATTTTTCTACTCCCACATAGTAATCCATGAATTACGAACTGTCGAGCCTCATAGTAAAACCATAGTTACACCCACTGGCATGTAATGAATGAACAGGCACGTAATATATATATATTACGTGCCTGTTTGAATAGTTTCCATAGCAACTATAAACATTTGCTTTCCCAAAAAAATTTCTTCTGAAAGTGATTCTTCATTATAGATCGTAGAAAAAGTATATGACACAACTCTGGTGGTAAGCTAATTACGAACTCATATTACATCACTCGCTCGCTACGCTCGCTCGTGTGTAAACTTCGTTCGTAATTAGCTTCTTACCACCCTCGATATGTAATATACTATTTTCTACAAGCATTTTGTTACTTAGTGATTACCGACAACAAATGATCTACCGAAATCCGTTGATTACGCACAACGTGCGTTTGGTTTTCGTATCAGGCACACGTGCGCAGCTTTTTCAGTCACAAAATTTTCGCTATTTTTTTTAATAAAAGACATTCATAATGCTTTTCTAAAATATTTTTTACTAGTAACAAAACTTACAATTTACAGAGAACTAAATGTGAATACACAATTTGAACCATTCGAAATTTGTATTGCTGAAGATTTACCAATAATCTTATTTTCTTTATCATCACCTGTTTTCTTGGTTTCGGTGACAACAATATTTTCACTGCAACCTCCTGCATTAACTTCTGACATCTTAATTATCCGATGGCCTTCTCCAAGAATTTGGTTAGCTGTCTTCACTTTATTTTGAATTGAGTCCTCTACGTACGTTTCTGCCGTGCTTGTCGATCTCCAGCCGCCATGCCGTTTTAACTGGAGAATATCTGCTCTAGCGTCCGCCAAAAATGTGGCTGATGATCTCCTAAATGCATGACCTGTATATTCTGCAGGATTTTTTAGATCAAGATATTCGGCTATCAAAGACGGTATTTTTCCTATGGTATTAATTCCAACCACTTGTGTTGAACGCGTTTCATGTCTGTAGTTTACGAAGAAACGCTTATGGCCCGTGTGTGTAGGTCGAAGAAGTGCATATTTTCTATAAACTTCCAGTAAGTTGATCTCTTCTGTATCTCCAATAAATGTTCGGCAAATTTTAGTTTTCGTATCTGGGACCCTAATTATTAGAACAGCGCTTCTATCTTCGATATCATCAGTGGACATGTTAGTCAATTCTGCTCTTCGCAACGCACCGGCAACGCCGAAAATGAAAGCTACCTATAAATGCAAGAATTTTCAAATGCACACAACATATTGTCAAAACGTACCTTCATCACCAAGTATTTACTATCCTCAGCTTTTTGCAGAAATTTATAAAACTCTTCTTCGGAAAACACTCGTGATTTTTTAGCTTTGTCACCATCGTTCTTCCGTTTCAAAAAGGAGACTAATTTCGAAAAATTACCAATGCTGACATTGTGTCTTATATTCATCGTTGATTTCAACATGGAGTTATGACTCCACATGCTAGAGCACTTAAATCCTTTTGCCTTCTCCATAAAATATGCCAACAGTACACTTTCGCATACTACATTTTTCACGTTCTTCTTTTGACACCAAGATTGAAATTGTTTATAAACTATTTCATAACGCCCCTTTGATTTTATGAGAAACAACTCTTCTACTGCGGCGCTTGCCGCTGCTGCAATCTCAGGAGAAATATGATTTCCTGCTTCTTCAGAATCAGAATCAAAAGCAGAATTCACAAAATCCATAGTATTATTGCACTTGTTATGCTTTCTTGTTTTCAGAACTCACAAAATAACGAACAAACCATATACGTCAAAAAATAAACAAAATTGGCATTGTTTTTTTTTACAATCGGGCATGCATCAAGGTGTCGAGTTAGAACAGGTGAGTTTATTAATGAACTGTTAAATGATTACAATTATTTGAAATTTTCGAATTTGAAATATCGCTTGTAGAAAAAACGATATTTATGCCTCGAATGGGAACTCAGATTACAGTGCTTGGCCCAATTACAAAACTCGGCTTCGCCTCGTTCTGTAAACCTTGGCCTGCGCACTGTAATCAGTTCGTTCCCCCTCTCGATATAAAATATACTATACCCTACTGATCTTGCATACACGATACAGTTATGACTTTCCTACTAGCCAACTTTTATAAATGTAAACAGGCATTTAATAGACAAAAATCGGTAAAAAAAATTAAATTCGCAAAATAAATTTTATAATTCTTCATTGTACTTCAAGGACGAGGGAAGTTCTGTCGAAACAACTTTCGACAAATTTTTTCATTACATCCCGCAGTTTTCGCAACTGAAAAATTGCAGTTGCGGAAAGGTGCGTCAGATCATATGCTGCAGAATTGTATTTCTAATATTCGATGTAACAAATTAATTTTTCTGCTGATTTCGATTATAAGTATGTAGGTAATTATTTTTATTACTCTTTTTACATGTGGGTAAGGCGGTAAGAAAAATAATGATTATGCCAACATTCTAGAATCATATACTTACTATTGTTATAGAAAATAGCAACACCAAAATTAATAAATACTTTTCGATATCAAATGAAAATTTGTAATAACCACATTCTTCTATTGTGACACAGTGTTTTAACTTCATAATGAATTAAGAGAATAAGTATCACATTTATTATTGAAATACGTATGTGATATTTGCATTTTTCTATTACTCCTATTAGATATGCATTTTTGATTAATAAAGTGAATACTTCGTTAACTGTAACAAAATCATAAAAAGTTAAATATATGCTAAAATTATTATTTAATCCTGACAGTCCATACAGTTTTGCTCCGCGCTTCATGCTACGAAGGACGAATCCACCCTGGAGAGTCGGACAGTCAGATCAAAAACTGCAATGTGCTTAAATGCATTTTATAATGTGGTTTATAAAACGTAGCTTAATTAAATTGCCAAGCGGTTAGTAGGTAATTTTCAGCTGAGCCTGACAGCCAGCTGTGCAAGTAATTAAAGACATTGATTTTTTTTTAATAAATAATAAATTCAGTAGCATGGAACTTGATGTTTATGAACTATTTGTTCATAAATTAAGACCATGTCCCGAAATGAAAAAAATAGTCTTCAGTAACTCTCGTGGCAGCAATAAAGGTTTCATTAAAACTGGTCCAACAAATATTATTGGCTGACCGGTAGTGAAACAACAAGCAAACTATACTGTATTTCACAAAAAATTACATACACTTTGGAATTCCACAAGTTACAGCGATATTTTTAACATGTCGGTACGGCTTTACAAAAAGATGATCAATCTGAAGAACACAACATTGCGTCATTTAAACGAAAACCACTTGGAAAAGGAAGTCAAACTATACTACATTCTCTTAATTCGGCTTATCGTAAAAACATATACAACACAATGAGACAGTTAAAAAAAATAGGGACATTATTAAACGTTTAATTGACATGATAATTTTTTTGGTTACACAAAAAACAAGCATTTCGGGGACATGACGAATCACAAATCTCTCTTAATCAGGGTATTTTCAAAGAATTAGCAAATTTGTAATTAAAATTGGATGATAAATTTAAAGTTTTTGGAGGAGTCTTCAGTATTTAGTGGTCTTTCTAAAACCAATCACAACGATTATTTTAGAAGTATTTTTACTTTATTTGTTACTGTTAATTTTGTTGGTATTTTAAGAACTTATTTTTTGTTTTACTTGGCATTTTTAATTTTACTTTTATAATAATTTTCCAAATTGCTACTTTTTCTAAGCATAGTTATCTCAACGATTTAGAATTTGACGTTTTCTCTTCATGTTATTTTGAAATCTTCACATGTTGGGATAATTATTTGACGTACTGCATTTCTATAGACTCCTAACACATCCATGACCCTTTCTTTTCCTTCCTTTTCCTCTCCTGGCAAGAGTTGCTTTGACCTTCTCGCTGATTTTTGCTGAACGACATATGTAATATTTACAAAAAAATATATATGTAATACACATAAAATATTTGTTATATTATGCTGAGTGACATGCAGCACCGAAACAAAAATACTTTCTATATGGCTATATATACAGGGTTGCTAAAAAGTATGGATACAGCTAAATATTTTCAGAACGGGGTATCAGAAATTTGGTATACAAGTAAAAGTATTTGAACTCTAAAATATTATTCAAATTTCCATCAATATTTGTTTTTTTAATAGCCCGAGGCGTCAAATTTAATATTTTTGAAAAAAGTTTTTTTTTCTGCATTCAATAAATGTAACACGTCGTCCTTTAAATGCGCTAAAATGTAAAAAACAATATTAAAATAGTACAATTTGGAAAAAAAAACCACCTTTTTTTTATTAAAATTTTTACAATTATTATAAACTTTTATTTAATTTTTATATCAACTAAAGAACTAATGATATTTTTTTTTATAGATTACTTGAGTCTCAGTAACACTTTTAGATGAAACATTAACTAAACTCTTGCTTGAAATATCTTTTATTGCTTCAGTGTTGGACTTGGTTCATTTTTGCAGTGGATATTATAAACAAATTAATAACCATTTTATCTTTAACTACCAACACAATTTTATATCATTTTTATGAGTTACCCTTAGTTACTGGTTGTTTGTTTCACTATAAATTATCTCGTCGTCTGCCAGTTCAACTGGTTGTGTTACAAAAGCTACTCTGGTGGAAGTTGCTTGTGGTAAGTTTTTAAAATAATTGTAGTGAACTGGAGTAATGTAAGGCAACAAGTCCTGGATATTATTTTTCTTGTTTGGGGTTACAGGACGAAGGGTAAAAAATCAATAAAACAAAAAAAAAACACTAGCTAAGAATCACGACAAAAATACAAAGAATTATCACAATTTGGACTTGATTAATGTTTCCATTGAACGTTCTGAACAATAATTCACAGTGTAAAAACAATGTTCCCTTAAAATGGGTTTTAAATATGGATTTAGTTAATTATAGAATTGAAAACTATAAATCGTCGGTAATTACTTGATAAATGTAACTCAAAAATGATTATTTTTGGATTTGGTCCACTTTAGTTCTGAACCCCTCATCTATCGACCAGTGTTCTGAAAAAATTGATCCGTAGTTTCCCACGAAACCTTACATTTTGTGGAACCTCATGTACAGCGTAGTTGTTATGACGCTGAGAACAAGGAAACTTATTCTTATTACTGTCTATAATCTCTCTAGAGGGAGCAATTTTTTGTATTACAAATTCGCATTTAAAAATTAATTTTTGGGTAAAACTGTCAACTGCAAAATAGCTGAATATTTGCAGGGTTTACAGTTTTTATCTACTTAAATCGAAAATTTTTAAGAAATACTGTTTCATCAAGGTTCAAATTTTCGACGATTTGACATGAAACAACCTATTTGTGAAAACCCGAATGGAAACGGTTTTATTTATGCGATAATAACTGTAACCACAATGCGGTTTTAAGTATGTGTGCTCGTTCTAACGTTATTACTAAATTAAATTGAAACAAAACGATAAAATGCCACTGGAAAATAAAAATCAATAAAAAAAAATATTTTCGCTTCGTAGAATTAGATGCTGTTGTCTTAATGACTGCGACAAGCGATACATGAGCAACACATGGGAATACGAACTGCTCAAAAATAAATTCAAGGTGATTAAATAACACGCTAAAGATTCACATAAGATAAGATACATGTTCAATATTCGCAATACATACAATGCATCGGAGAAAATAACAGGTCCAGCAAGCAATAAGCCAGAAATACTGTTTCTAAAAACTTTAACCGTAATTTAAATGTATAAAGAAGAAACACCTACACATAAATATTTACATTCTCATGCTGCAAGCGTTAATCACTGATCGGTACTTACCGTATGTTATATCGTGTGTCACAGTCTCAGCCAGCGATACAATCACAGTTTGTGTCATGTTCCTGATAGACGGTGAGGTTCCAGGAGATTTTGACAAGGGCTTCGGAGTTTTGGTGAAGGCCTCGATGTCATTTTCTTGTTTAGCCGCCGAAGGCTCCATCGTGAACTTCAGCCACCACCTGTTGCTAAACACAAACACCCACTGACCCCCAGAATGTAAATAAAATTCACTGCAACTTATATTTATCGTTGTCTCTTACAACTGTTTTAACGTCAAAATTTTTTAGGTTATATCAATTTAATTTATATCAACAAATCATTTTTTCACATTCTTCGTGTATATTATTAGTACGTACACTTTAAATTACGAAATTATTCTCTTTAGAGATGTGGACTAAGGATATCGCAGTAGGCAAGTCCAAGTCCGCACTTCATCCAAACTAACTTTTCCTTTCACAACTAAATAAAGTCTTATCCCAGTTTCAGCCAACGCACTTCATAGATAATACTTGGTTCGTGTCTCCACCTTTCATTGGAAATATTTGTGTAAATATTTGCAGAATGTTTCTAAATGTGAGGAAATGAATAATCTAAGAATATTCGCCTTGCTTGCTAAAAATATAATTCATTCAAACCATCGGCATGTCGCATTATCGTGGGTATTTCTGTGCCCGCGGAGATGGCATTGAAAATATCAAAGACAAAACACATTTCACGACAATGTTGTCATTACTGAACGAACATTGACAAGGTTCTGTATTTTCAATTTCGGATTTATCAAATTTAAGTAAAACCGTATTGAATTATAAACATTATTGTATCTATTGACTGATTTATTTTTAACTTTATCAAACAAGACCGCGCATGTTTTGGCGCAAGCGAATTAATCGGGTGTTACCCGAGCGTCTTTGGTAGTTAAAATAAATTGTACCTAATTATTTTTTATCTTTATTAAATAGATGCTTCGTCGCTTCGAGATAGAGAAAGTTGACGTTTAACTAACCTTGAAGAAATTTTTGTTGACGAATTATTATATGATTTGTGGCTGTATCGTATCATATATTTCAATTTTTGAAATATAAATATAGCCAAAATTATGAACGACCATGTAAGTATTGGAGATCACAACAAACTCTTTCTTTATCGTAAGTCGCGCGCAAGACAATTAGCAACATTTTATTTTCACAGGATTAGGGATCTGTAAAGGTCTAAAAATAGTTTATTTCTATTAAGAAACATGTTGTTAGATGACTCTCGTAGTTTGACTTTGTTAAATACTGATATAAGATTAATAAA